TCCAAAACCGTTTATCCCACGTTCTGAGGGGATTTTCACCCATGTAGGAGCGGATATAGGGGTCAGTTATAACCTCTTATCCCCCTATAAAAGCTCAACGAACCCAACAGAGCAACGGGATTGGATTTTTGGCATCTGAACCACACAGGTTGGATTCAAAAGATCTAAACCATACAGGTTGGAGATTTTCAGTTCTCAAACAAACTCGACAGAGTTAAAGGATCGGATTTTTGATAATCAGATCAGAGGTTGGATTCTTTACCATCAAAATCACTCGGGTTTGGAGATTCGGCAACGACAGCAACGAAATCCTCGGAGATAGGATTTTTGAATCAACCTCAGAAGATCAAATCTGAGAGGATTCTTCGACAACAGAAAAACAGCTTGATCTTTAACCGAATTTTCGGTTCCAACAACTCTATTCACAGAGTTCAAACTCGTTCAGAGTTCAAACTCGTTCAGAGTTCAAACTCGTTCAGAGTTCTTAAACTCATTCAGAGTTATTCATAAAACTTTCCACGAAAGTTCATCGTTCCCACGAGATAAAGACGGTCGGATCGTCAACGGAGAGCAAGTTCGACGCAATCAATCGAAGGAAGCACTCCATCGCTGCCAAGAAGAACCCAGTTTTAAACAAAGGGGAAAACCAAATTCGTTTTCCTCTCTTTTGTAATCAAGTTGTAACCGAGATCAAAGGAATCAAAATCACATTTTCTTTATATATATATATATATATATATACAAAACCACAAATATCTTGAAAATGAACGAAGAAAACCACACAAACAAAAATCATATTAATAACCCACACACACCCAACGTTTTCAAAACCACCATTCTCTATCTCCATCTAATATATATTCATATACCAAATTAAGCTGCGTGAGTTTCCCCTCACCAATTATACCATTGATCAACCCTCTTTTTTCCTTTGTACTTAAATTGTATAATATTCATTACGATGAGGACTCACATGGGTCCTCTGGCTACTATGTCCAACAAAAAAATATACTAAGGCTTGTGGTTAGTTATCCCATCACTATGAACAAACTAAGTAAAGATTAATAATTCTTAATAATATACTAGGTTCCCCTATCTTCCATTACAAACTTGTTAGTTGTTTATTTCTAGCCCCAAGAGATTTTCAAAATTAATCATCTATTTCATAAAATTTTTAAAAATGTTTAAATAAAATTTATGGCAAATGTAACAATCCATGCTTTTAGATTTTAACTTAAAATGAATCTGATTTATTTTATAGCAAGAAAACAAACAAAAAAATAATTTTGATATTTAACCACGTGTATTACACATGCACAAGAATTAGTTTATGATAAAACTAATACTTTTAATAGCTAAATAATAGAAAACCCCCTAACTTTCAACAATTATCAGAAAAACCCCCATACCTTTCAAAATACCAGCAAATCTCTCTTTAAGATTAGGGGTTATCATAAAAACTTTAAGATTTTATCACAGGACTCCTCTAAGTAATATTTAATCACAATTTACACCTTAGAAGGTTTTGTGGTTTTAGCTCACAATAGTCCAAAGTTACAAGGGGTTTCCTGATATTTAGCCAATTTTTCATTCCTAAAATCAATTACGGTTAACAAAGCGCTAACGCAATGATTAGCAAGTGCGTGATGAGCGCTAAACAACGCGATCCCAACAGACTTCAATCATCACGCTCACTCTTCTACTGAGAAAATCATTTTTAGAAGGAAAAAAATAAAAAATAAAAATAAAAAATTAAAAATTAAAAATTAAAAAATAAAAATCATCATCATCGCCAGTCCACCCCGCAATCTCCTCAATCCTCTCTTTTCTTGTCCGCCATTAAAAAAACAGACTAAACAATCTCTACAGAGAGGGAGGGAAAAAGCTAGTCCCTCTTTCTCCTCCTCCGCAGAGATTTCTTTAATTGGGGCCTGTTGCATCACTGTAAAGCCAAAAACTATGTTGGGCTCCATCACTCATTCTCCCTCTCTTTACCACCATCACAGGGGATTGAGAGAGGAGCAGTCTGGTGCTTGCTGCTGCTGTTCTTGTTTCAGAGAAAATGGCTAGGGAAACAGAGTACTATGATGTCCTCGGAGTTGGGCCCTCTGCAACTGAGGAAGAGATCAGAAAAGCTTACTACGTCAAGGTGAGGAAAACCCATTAAGATTGGCCGGGGGGTGTTGAGATGGGTATCTGTCAAAATTGCATCTTGTTGCTTGTTCTTGTTGCTTCTATAGATTTCAGGAGATGGGTATTTGTCAAAATTGCATCTTGCGAGTTATTTATAGTGGGTATTTGTGTGTATGCTGAGATATGCAATGTGCACGTAGACCCTAATTCTGCTTCTTGAGATTTATCGAAAAAAGGAAATTGAGATGGGTATCTGCTAGAATTTCATTTTGTTGCCGAGTTTATACTTCTTAATGTTAGATTTGTATATACCCATCTTTCTTGCTTATTTACGATGCTCTGTTATAGAACACTGAAACAGTTTATATTCTAATTTTTAGCTTTCTACAATAGTGCAATTATGTCTCCTTGCACACCAATGTTAATTTGGTATATCAGTTGATAACAATTTGTCTGACTATATCATATCAAATCTTAAGCATGCTGGTCCTATTTAGTCGAAAGACGCCAATAATGATACATATAGGCTCTTTAATATTGGAAAGCATGTTGATCTCATGTGTTAATGGGTTGAGGCCCTTATTCTCCAAAAAGAAGAAAAAGATGTTGATCTCATGTATTGAAACCTATTGATACCACTGATATTGGCTAGCAGCAAATCCACGCGGAGATTTTAGTTTGAAGTACCAAAATTGACTTGCACACAAAAAATTTGAAATTATGAATGCTTCATCGAGGGGAGCCAGTTTGTTTACTTGTAGTGCGAAGATAAATAAGATCGTAATTCATAATTTTCTTTTTTATGTTCCTTTATTCTAGATTTGAAATTCATGGTGATATACACAATGAATAGCAATACTTAATAATTTTTGTACAGGCAAGGTTGGTCCATCCTGACAAAAATCCGGATGATCCTCAAGCCGCTGAGAGATTTCAGGCAAGTCTAATATGTTTCTTGGACCACAACTCTACTCTGTTTTAAATAAAGATCTATATTTACGAGAAGAGCAGGGCGTTAACTTTTTAATGTTTATTGAATACATGTTACTGGAAATCACCTCATAATGCAGGTCCTTGGAGAAGCATATCAGATCTTGGGTGATCCAGTGCAAAGGAAAATCTACGATGGGAATGGTAAAATTGGTGTTTCTAGGTAATAACTTTTCTACTCACTATTTGAAAATTCGTACGCTAATATATGATGAAGAGAAAGAAAAACTCGTCTCTTTTGCTATTGATTTATTTGAATTCAGCCTAACAACCTTAATACATGCCTCCACATTCTTCAGGGCTAACATGTTAGATGCTACTGCCGTTTTTACCCTTCTTTTTGGAAGTGAGCTTTTTGAGGACTATATTGGACATCTTGCTGTGGCGTCAATGTCTTCATCAGAGTTAAATAATGAGAATGACAATCCTGAGAAACTTCAAGATAAGTTGAAGGTAACTACAACAAACTTATTAAAATTGTGAAAATTGTGTGGCTGTCCATATCCTAATAGACAGTTCCAAGCGTGCTGCTTCTAAAATGTTGTATTCTGCAATGCTCTGAAGAACTTAAATTAAGAATTAACATGAATGGGTTTTCATGGAATTCTTTGTATTATGAAGGTTGTCCAGAGGGAGAGGGAGGAAAAACTTGCTAAGTTCTTAAAAGAACTTCTAAACCAGTATGTTTCTGGTGACAAAGAGGGATTCTTTCATCGTGCAGAAGCTGAAGCAAAGCGACTTGCTAACACAGGTGATCACCTTAACAACCTCTTTAGTTGGTAGAGTCTTTTAATATGATTAAATTTATATGTCATTTAGTTTGTTTATTCAACCTATTTATTGAGTGGGGCCATATTTTGTAGTGGTTACCAGAGAAAAATGTTACCTTGTCTTAAATAAAAATTGGTATTTACAATGTTTTCAACATCAATTATATTTGCTAGCTTGTAAGGACTAATTTGTTGGATAAGTAAACAAAGTAATAAACTTTAATTGGCACTTGGCATTCTCTTTTTTAACATAAATATTATGTACTTCATCTATTTTCATATCACATTCATGTCATCAACTTTTTTTAAGTATAAAATGTTGAGAAAATGGGATGTCTTACTATTTTAATTTATTTGTATTAACAGATTTTGGTGTCGGTGTTCTACGCACTATTGGCTATGTGTATTCAAGACAGGCTGCAAAAGAATTAGGAAAGAAAGCCATGTATTTAGGTGTTCCTTTTTTGACTGAATGGGTGCGAAATAAGGGTCATTTCTGGAAATCTCAGTTCATTGCAGCAAAAGGTTTAGTTCTATGCTTCCACAAAAAAATTGTCTTTTTGAAACTATTGACTAACTTGTTAAAAAAAATTCTTAGGTGCTTTGCAATTATTGCAACTGCAAGAAGAAATCTGCCGGCAAATCAATAAGGATGAATCTGGTTCTGAAAATGATGTTGAATTGCAGATGTACATGAATAAGGAGTTGATGATGAATTCGTTATGGAAACTAAATGTAGTGGATATTGAAATTACACTTTTACGTGTGTGCCAAATGGTATGTACCAGGATAGCTGAGTTAGTATTTCCTTAAGTTATATGCATGAATTATAAAATATTCTGATGGAATTATGTAAAATTATTCTTCTTCCGTTTTCTTTTTTTTCTTTTTGTTTTGGTAAACTAGAGTTCAATTCATCAACTGATTAATAGGAAAATTTACAGGTGTTGCAAGAAAACAATGTTAAGAAAGGGGAACTCAAATCCCGAGCTCTAGCTCTGAAAACTCTAGGAAAAGTTTTTCAGGTCAGTGGCTGTAATTATTTTCATTGTACTAACCATTAGGCATGTAAATTGTCTCATGTGATTAGATTTTGCTTGAATACTGATGAGATGGCATTAATTTATTTATTTTAGAGGGAGAAGCATGTACTCAATGTCGGTGCATCAGAAAGCAAAAATGATTCAGACGATGAGAGTGGTTCTGATGCTAGTTCTGATGATGATCTACCGCAAACACTTACATATCGAACGCCTATTTTTACTCAGGCACGTATTAAAGTTTTCTTATATCAAAATGCAGTGAGCTCCATAGTCATTATTGCAATGAACTTCTAATTCTTCCAATTTTAACGGAAAAAGGAAAGCAGAAACATGACTTTGAAGTATCTGGGAACATGTACCTTATTTTCTAAGAGTTCTTTTATACACTACAAAGTTCTATCTAATCCTAGACCCAACATCTGAAATCAAATTTGAATTGAAAATAACCTCACTCATCTAGACCTTGAGTTACTTTTATCACCCCTCAACTATTTTCTAAGCACTTATGACCTCTATATCCATGAAGGAGCGGATGGTCATCTGCAATTTTATCCCTCTCAAAATGTGAATACAAGAGTGCTACATTTACTAAAGTAGTTTATGGGGTGATAAGTGCAACTCAAGGTATACCTGAGGGGGGTTATATGCAATTTACCCAAAAATAAACATTTAACTATTCTCTAATGCAGAAATTCTAAATGGTTAATAAGGTATGTACATGAAGTACATGTTTTAAATGTGCACGTGCATGTTCTTTGTGCATGTTTACTAGTTCTTCTATCCTCTAAAAAGTTGTAATGTTTTGATTTAGGGCATTGGCAAACTTTTCAGATGCTTATGCAATCCAGCATATGATGTGGATGACGACGAGCCTGAACATCGAAGCAAATAAAGGATAAGAATTTGTCTGGAAACTTGCTAAAACAAGGGCCAAAAGATGTTTTGATTTCAACAGGATTGTTGTGAAAATTTCCCAACAATACGAGTGTTTATAATTTGTAATTTTCTCCTTGAGGTGTGTCAATGAAGTGCGAGCATTTGTAAAAAAAAAAAAAAATTGTTGGTGACGGGGCTAATTGCTTCAGACAAATAACTCGATTTTTTCTGACAGTTTCTTTTAAGGTGATTGAATATTGCAAGTTTGGGAGGTTCTTAGTCACCTGACACTGGGTTTTTAAGGGTTATTTGCACTTTGATACCACCAAAGTTTGCACCGGTTTCGGCTTTTGATACCCCAAATCCTACACTTTGACACCTCAAAGTTTACACTATTTTGAACTTTGATACCACCAAACTTTTGTTTCTGACACTCCAATAGGAGCGGTGATAATAGAGGGGAGAACTTGATGCCACATTCTCCTTTCTAATGCCACATGTCCCGCTCGTCTTGGAGTGTAGGCATCTTGTCTACTCTATGAATAGGCAAGAATTTCTTCAAAAGTTGGGATATCAAAGTTAAAAAGGTGTAAACTTAAAAATGTAAGCTTTGGAGTGTCAAGTACCAAGAGATGTAAACTTTGAGGTACCAAAGTGCAAATAACTCTGAAAATAATAAAAACTCTACACAAGGCTTCAAATAATTTTCACGATCAACATAAATGTTCAATCCAACGGCCAGCGCTGCGCCACGTGTACACACACGCCGATCTCTGCAGCTACCTCCCTGTACCTGATCTCGAGGTCCCCCAACTCCTCCATGGCTCTTTACTCCACCACTGCAATTGCCCCTCGTTCGAAACTCTCTCACCTCTCCCCAATCCTCAACAAAAACCCTAACCCTAGAAAACCCTACCTCCTCCTCTCCTCCACCTCCAATTTCCCCAATTTCTCACTCTTTTTTGCTCCTTCATCTCACAATCTATCTTGGAGAGCTCGATCGCCGGCGATGGCCATGGCTGAATCCTATGGAAGGGAGCTCGCCGCCGCGAAGAAGGCTGCTTCGCTTGCCGCTCGTCTTTGTCAAGTGAGGAGGCCATGATCTCCGTTGGTCTTTGATGATTTCGATCGATTTTTTCGTGGAATGGCTAAAGTTTTCTTTCTTTTTTTTGTTGTTTAGACCGTGCAAAAGGAGATTTTGAAATCGGACGTTCAATCGAAATCTGATAAGAGCCCTGTGACTGTAGCTGATTATGGTATGTAAAGATTGAATCTTTTGTATTATTACTCTTGTTGATGAAATTGATGATCCTAATTGGAAAAAGGTTAGGGTAGAAACTGCCATCTTAGTCAGAATAAGAATGTTGCTGAAAAGACACTTTCTTTTTGAGTATCAATGCTGTAGAAATAGCAAATAGCGGAGTCTTTGCAAGCTGTTTAAAAAATTTAGAGGCCTCCGCAACAGCCATCTTATAAGTATGTTCATGAGTATCCGCGCTATACTCGAGACGGTGAATAGGGGTGTTTGTAACTTGTTAGATTTTTCTCTTTTCAAACACTTCAAAAGCCACTGTTCGAATACACTCTCTACCCGTCCGAGTACTCCTACCCAATACCCAAACGTGTTGGGTAGCTGTTACCCTCTCGATTATGTGGTCAAACCGCATACTCAAGCAAAAGTGCATGCGCCCGCATAATGAAATTATGCGGGCGCATAATACAGCCGATCAGATCCGCACTCAATTACCTTAAATTCTCCCTATT